TTCTTACGTACAGGATTTTCACTGAAGACATCGTGTCTTCATCAACTTCTACTTCTGGCTCCGCCCAGTCTACGGCAATAGGATGTCCCCATAACTGGATTCTTCCTGTTGAAAATGAATCAAAGGTATGATTAAGTATGCAGAAACCAGGACAACATCACGTCACTTCATACTGATGGCCTTTTAAATTCAACTGACCTTAAGGTCTTGAATGAGCAAGAAGACCATTAAAAGAGGTAACTATGATTTTAAGGGACATTCTAAGTAAATATAAGAGTTGGCTAGAAGGGAGTCCTGTGTGACTAGTGGCTTATTATAATGATTGAGTATAAAGGAAACTAGGATGTGGTTTGAAATGGAGCAGAAATGAGGCAGCAGTGGGCATGTTTGGCTCTTAGGACGGCTCTCACAGCAGGGAGGTAGTCGTTTAAGGTGAGATAGCAAAATGGAAAAGAATGGATTTAAGGCTCAGACGTAGAGTCTGACTTCATGAAACATTAAAAAGATCACTAGGAAGTGTGTCTGCTGCTGTTGGCAATCTGTGTTGTTACACTGTCCAGGCACCACCACTGAGGTGTCAAGAAATGATGCTCAGGTGTCCTCTGACTTCATGAAACATTAAAAAGATCACTAGGAAGTGTGTCTGCTGCTGTTGGCAATCTGTATTGTTACACTGTCCAGGCACCACCACTGAGGTGTCAAGAAATGATGCTCAGGTGTCCTTAGTTTGTTCTCTGTCCCTGATGCCTGATCACAGCTCAGACCAACTGTGTTCCCTCCTAACCCTCTGTCAGAACATGGATAACTTGAGAATCTGGAGAATTTTATTTTATATAAATTAAGAAGACAGATGAAGAGCAATGGAAGAGTCTATGATGAGAAATTTTACTCCTCTTAAAAGGGCAGTTGTTATCCAGAGCTCCACGTGTTTTCGTATTCCTATAACTACAATTTATTGTGTCTTGCACTATACTATGTGTTTCCTATGTGTTGTCTCAGTTCCTTCTCACAGTAACCCTGTGGGAAGGGGAGTGACTCCCAGTTTTACAGAAGAGGAAATGAGCTTTAGAGAGGATAACATGCTCAGCCTGTTTCATGTCACCACCTCTCCCCTGGCCTTTTGGTGACTCAGCTCCTATACCCCTACACAATGCAGATCCATGCTGAAGTCATGAGAGGAGGAGGAGAGTCAACTCAATTCTCAATTTGATTGAAAATCTAGTGTGTCTTTTAATTAGTTGTTTGGGAAAAAGTTATATCCTGTAAGTAATACAAAGCTTGAGAGAACAAAATCAGGAATTCCCAGTATTGGTGAGGGTTTAATTGTTTGATTATTACACGTGGGAGGAATTATTTTCAATCAAAATGCATCTTGTTATTGCTTGAAAAGCAGTCAATGAAAGTCAATGGCGCTGGCATTCTAAAACTCAAATGAAGAACAGGCACATCCTAATGAGTGATCCTAGAGAGGGGCTCTTGCTGCCCCTGCTGTGGCTACCTTGCTCTGCACCACATTCCAGGAGCTAGTTTTCTTCAGTACTCTCTTCCTTTCCTGCTCATTCCCTCCCCTTCTCACCCTTTCTCTTCCTTCCCCCCTCCCATTTCTTTCTCTTCCCTTTCCTTTGTAGGCTTTGCTTTGCTGTTTGTATTATCCCCAAATCCCTAAGGTTCCCATTTAACTCTGGTTTCTGTTACCCAGTGGTTCTCAATGCCGACCCCATGCTGGAAGAGCTTTAAAAAAATACTGAAACCTGGTTTCCACCCAATGGTGTGCTGGAGCCAGTCCCTATCCACTTCAAGAATAGATTGTTAAATTTTTAGATATTTTTCTTCCCAGCTTTATTAAGGTATAATTAACAAATAAAAATTGTATATATTTATGGTATACAACATGATGCTTTGATATATGTATACATTGTGAAATGATTAAATAAAACTAGTCGACATATCTATCACCTAACATACTTATTTTTGTGTGATGAAAACATTTACGATCTTCTCTCTTACCAGTTTTTAAGTATGTAATACATTATTATTAACCATAGTCGTCATAGATTTCCAGAACTTATTCATCATAACTGAAACTTTGTACCCTTTTATGAATCCCCCTAAACCCTGGTAACCACCATTCTATTCTCTGCTTCTATGAGTTCAACACTTTTAGATTACACATGTAAGTGAGATCATGTGGTATTTGTCTTTCCATTCCTGGTTCATTTCACTTAAGTAATGTCATCCACATTCATTCTTGTTGCAAATGACAGAACTTCCTTCTTTTTTAAGGCTAAATAGTATTCCATTGTAACTAGTAAACAAATTCTGTAAAATTGCAAAATACAAAGCCAACATAAAAATATCAGTAGCATTTCTACACACTGAGAACAATCTACACCCCACCCCCAAAAAACAAGAAAACAATTTCATTTACAATAGCTTCCTCCCCAAATACTTACAAAAAATTTAACCAAAGAAATGAAATATTTGTACACTTAAAACTATTAAAGCATTGAAGAAGAAGCAAATAATTGAAAATATTTTCTATGTTCGTGGACTGGAAGAATTATTATTTTTAAAATGTCCATACTAACCAGAGTGATCTAGAGATTCAATGTGATCCCTATTAAAATTCCAATGACATTTTTCACAGGGATAGAAAAACAATCCTAAAATTTGTATGTAACTACAAAAGACCCTAGCCAAAGCAATCTGAAGAAAAAGAACAAAGCTGGAAGCATCACTATACCTGATTTCAAAATATAGTACAAAGCTGTAGTAATCAAACAATATGGTACTGGCATAAAAACAGACATAAAGACCAATGAAACAGAATAGAGTCCTGAAGTAAATCCAAGCATTAATGATCAAGTATCTTTGACACAGGTGCCAAGAACACACAATGGGGAAAGAAAAGTCTCTTCAATAAATGGTGCTGGGAAAACTGGAAATCTGACCCTTATACCATATATAAAAATCAACTCAAAATGAATTAAAGGCTTAAATGTAATACCTGCAAATGTAAAACTACTAGCAGAAAACAGAGGGAAATTCTGTTGACATTGGTCTGGACAATGGTTTTGGGGATGTGACCCCAAAAGCAACATCAAACCAAAAAGCTTACGAACAGCAAAGGAAACAATAAGCAGAATGAAGAGACAACCTAAGGAATGGAAGAAAATATTGCAAATCTTATATCTGATAAGGAGTACATATCCAAAATACATAAAAACTTAAATAACTCAACATCAAGAACCAAATTAAGAAATGGACAAAGAACTTGAATAGACATTTCTCAAAAGAAGACATACAAATGGCCAATAGTTACATGAAAAAATGCTCACCATCACTAATCATCAAGGAAATGCAAATTAAAACTACAATGAGATATCACCTCACACTTGGTAGAATGGATATTATTAAAAAGACAAAAGATAACAAGTGTTAACAAGGATGTGGAGAGAAGGCACCCTCTGTACACTGTTGGTGGGAATGTACATTGGAAAAGCCATTATAGAAAACAATACAGAGTTTCCTCAAAAAATTAAAAATAGAACTCCCATATGATCCAGCAACCCCATTACTTGGTATACATTCAAAGGAGATGAAATCAGCACCCCTATATTCATTGCAGCATTATTTACAATGCCCGAGATATGGAATCAACCAAAGTGTCCAACAACAGATAAATAGATAAAGAAATTTTCAGAATTTTGTGAGCCAGTTGATGTCATGATGGGAACTTGAAATCAGCCACAGTGGGAGTGTTAATACCGTGGAAATCAACAAATGCTACAAATCAGGCTTTTGCTTTTCCCTGGGAGCTGGCTGTGAAAGATTTACCAGCTCATCACCGACTCCTGGAGTGTCCCTCCTGATTTTGATATACGTGGTCTGGGACTCAGAATCTTTAAAAGTATCTCAGTTAATTCTAACATGTGGCCAAGGCCAAGCACCACTGCTTTAGCTTTTTCCTTCCCAGCCTAGGACCATGTTAACCACACCTGCACCTGAAGAGCTGCATAAGGCTAGAACAGAAGTGAGAGGAGGTGCAGGAAACAAGGATTTTCACAAACATCCCCATGAAGGCATCTGGGGGAAGTCTGTGTTACAGAGTGATTGGAGAACATGGGCTGTGAAGTTAGATATGTTCAAATATCAGAGAAATGATCCTGGCTAGAGAACAGATCCTTTCTAAGCATCAATTTCCTCATCCATAAAATTGGGATAATCAAAATACCCAGTATTGTTGTGAAGACAAAAGAAGATGATGCAGATAAAGGACTTAGTTTATCACTTTTAAATGATGATTCAACGAACAATACTCTCCTTTTAATTTTTTTTTTTTTTGTCTATTTTCTTGTATGTATAGTTTCCTCAGAATATGCACTCTCTGAGTGCAATCATTAGGTATTATGTTTTTTTAGAACCTCCCATGTCCTTTAGAAGTAAACAATGTACGTTGTAGATATTCCTGTTATGTCCCATGCAGATGAATGCCAAATATCATCAGCTAATAGATTTAGCAGTGGACCACAAACTTTGGCTGCACAATGGAATCATCTGGAAAACTTAAAACACTGGTGCCTCAACTCTACACCTCAGAGACAAAGGTTCAATTGGTTAGAAGTTGACATAGGTAGAGCTATTGTCTGAAAATATCCTCAAGTACAGTTCCAGTCAAGATAGCAGAATAGAGTCCCTAGCATCACTCTCTCCCGGAAATCAACCAACTTACAACTATATAAAAAAGTAACAACAGCCAAGCTGGGGCCACTAGAGCTCAGGGGAAGAGGAGAAGAGACCTACAGAGTGCATGAAGGCAGGAGAAGCCACGATGAGAAAAAGAAAAAACTGCTCTGACCATTTCATGTGCCACAGCCACTTTAAGGCTGGAGCTGCTGAGCACACAGAGTAGGAGCCAGCAAAAGCCACAGCTATGCCCCTTGGATGAAGTTTCTTGGAGGCAGCAGGGGAGAAGGGGGTCTTGGTGGCCCCTAGGACAGCAAGACCACTAATAGGGTTCCTGTGGACTCATGCATGAGCAAGGAGCCAGAACAGCTGAAAAAGGGGAGCCATTCAGAGGCTGGTGAGTCATCGCAAGGGACCGG